ATCTGATCATAAGCTGATTTCTCAAAAAGTTTGCTACGGGAGCTACACGCTCTCAGACTTCACACAAAACTTCCGCGCACGCGCATTGAGTGGAAAACCAAACGTCCGTCAAAAAAAAAAAAACGTCCGTTAACATTTTGAATGCAGGATCTTTACTTATAACAGAGTATTCCTACACTGTGGTACTTAGATCTTTTACTCAAGTAAAAGTAGGAGTACTTTTACAACCTGTTAAGACAGGAACATCATCTGTAGTAGATTTTGTACTACACAACACATGCCGATTTGCACAACGCAGAGGAAAATGAAAGAAGGATTTGACTATTAAATGATCCAGAATAATCCCCACTGATCCCTGCTTCTTTCTGACGTGTTGCTTAAGAATCCCCCAAGAGTTCAAGTCATTGCGATCATCCTGTGTGTGATGTCATACCGTATCTCGTGCAGCTTCACCACCTCGTTGACCACCACCACCATCAGCGGGGACAGGGAGACCAGCAGCCAGGCCAGCAGGGGGATGTCCCCGAGGTCAAAGGTCCGGAGGCTGCCACGGTCACGCCACAACTGGTAATCCACCGTGGCCTGAACCAACTGACTGAGCAGACTGGAGGCAGAAGAGAGGGAGAGGGAGTTAGCTCTGGACATTTACCATGGCTAGCAATATGTTTATCCTGTGTATGGACGAGTGTGAACAGAATTATCCATGAATGTCCACTTGCACATCTTTTTTGGGCAAATGAAGTGTGTTGACGCATGATATTGCATTGAGTTGTAACCGTTATAAAATGGAACAGCATGCTGTGGTTGAGGGGGTTACAGAAGTACCATATGTAGAGACCACAAGCACCTTCTAGAATCTAGAGCTTGTCTGCTTGACTTTTCCAATGCCAGTAAAGGTTGTTGATGTGATGACAAAAGTGAGATCTTTTGTCATTATCAGTTCAAATATATCCTTCTGCTTCACACAACCGCCTGCATTTAACAGAGAAACAGGGACTACATGGCAGTAGTCTACAATTCAGTTATAACAGTTATCTGGATGTAACTCCAGTTCTATAAGTACTTTGTGGCCTAGCATCACCTGATATCTAAATGTGAACGTAAGAATGAAAATATAGTTAACCAGTGGATTATAATAAAGCAGGATACAGCTTAATCGCATACAATAAACCCCTTCATGTTGAAGGTTGCGCACAGATGTAATCTGACACAGAACTACAAATAAAAACTGTTGTAAATCAACAGCACTGTTTTAAAATCCATACATCAAGTATAACTCAGTCAGGGAAAGTAAATGTTATTGATGCAGCCCAATAGCCTCTGAATCCTTGAAAGGGAAACCTCTAGAAAAGCAACAGATGAAGGACAGACAGGCAGGAAATAGATGTCGTGTGTACACATTTCATATTTGAACAGTTCAGACAGCATATCGCCACAGGTGATCACTTACACCACAGGTACAGTGAGACACCACCAGGTGTTGCTGAAGGGACTCTTCCTCCACAGAGGCTGCGAGCGGTGGACGTAGCTGAGGGAGATCACCACTGAGGATCAACCAAAAACACAAGACAGGGCTTCAGGTAAATAACCGTACATGACTTTAACATCAGTAATGAAGTGATTCACTAGTGTACCTGTGTGTAAGACGAGGAACCCTGCCATGACCTTCTGAGTGAGCAGCAGGCCGTTTGACAGCTCCCCGAACCACTGAGGAGCATCCACTGAAGAGCTGCAGTCACACACAAACAGTCAATGTTCTATTACTGTGATACCATGAAATCACTGTCAACAGGCCTTTAGATGAACAAGTGAGCCTGAGGCTGCTTCTCCTACCTGGCTGCGAGGATATGAAGGCAGGTGACGGTGGTGTTCTCAGCTAAGGTGGAGTTGCAGCTACTACAGCAGAACTCCTGCAGGGTGAAGCCGAAGGCCACCAGGTAGGCACACACTGTCAGGCCGAACTTCAGCAGGAAGCAGCCGAGGAAGTAGTTCTGGGTCTGGTTAAAGAGGTTCAAAAGATGAGCAGCTCACACATAAGATTGTCCAGTCTTCTGAATACTGTTGTATTTACCAGCTGTCTTTTACACTGATTATTGTTGTCTTAACAGCGGAAATGTTGACTTGTCAAAGTAGTAAAATCACACGTGTTACAGATCATTGTTCCATTAGTGTCTCAGTGAGCGGTGGTCATGCATCATTCTTTCACATCCAAATCAACACAGCCATTATTCCTTTTATAGTATGTGGTTTCCTGCTGTGTCAAGTCAACATGTAAACAGGTCTCTCACCAAAGGGGTCCCAAAAATCATGTTAACAAGAATACTACCATTTTGTAAACATTATCACTACTTCATTGCTTTTTATAAGACGCCCCTATACAATCTAAAACAAAACCTTTGCCATAGTTCAAGCTTTTAAGAATCTTAAGTACATTTAAGTTAATACTGGTGTACAGGCATTTTAAAAGCTATTTCTTTGCGCAGCATATGAAAGAACCATTCAAATCTCCTTTTAGAAAGAGAGGTCTCAAAGGGCCTACCTGCTATTGATCAGCACTATTATGATAAAGGTGTTTCTCTATGCACTTTGTACATTAAGACACTGCTCAATAGTAGGAAGGTATGTTTCTCAAAGCTTAAGCAATAGTGATCCTCAGGAGACTGACAGGTCTCATTGACGTGTGAGCCTACCTTCCTGGGAATAGCATCTAAGTTCTTCCCTGTAGCCACCGTCATCACTGAGCTGTCTGGAGGCTTCCCCAGGAACGACACACTGTCAACACAAACAAGTCATAAGCATGAAATGGTGTATGGCACAGCAAAATAAAAGCATATAACGAGTGTGTACAGTTTGTGTGTACCTCAGCAGCGGGCAGCTGAAGCAGGACATCCACAGGATGTCAGTGGTGTTCATGGGAGGAGGAAGCTGAGCCAGACACGCTAAGAACTGCAGGAAAACACATTATGTACGTAATGCAAAATGTAGCCTAGTGCAGCGTAAATATCCAGATATGGAGTACTCTCTCACCTGGAGGATGACGAGGCTGAGCTGACACTGCAGCAGGAAGAGGAAGCACTTGCGGATGCCGTAGGTTGTGTGTCGTGCCTGAGGCAGATTAAAGACAGATTCATACATGCGTTTGATTCCTCTCTCAGACTCAGTGTCTCAGTGGATGTGAGCGTGTCTGACCTGCTCGATGAGCTTGACCATGCTGACGCTCTCTCCTTGGTGGAAGGTGACGGAGCAGCCCAGACTGTTGAGCTGACCAGAGAGCCTCAGAGGAGACAGGCATTCAGCGTCTCTGTCGCTGAATCCTCCTGTGGCATATCCAAACGTCTCCCAGGAGCACTGTGAGGGGTACAGAGGGTCCAGAGCGATACTGTGGAGGGAGGGGAGGGGACATTCACGTATGGGACCATCAGGGTTATACCTCTCTGCCCTGATGGGGCAATATGACCACATTATTTTATTCAGCTTGCCTGAAAAAAAACCTCTCACCTAAATCTACTCAGTAATTGTGTTGTCTGCGTTTGTATTAAAACAGGTACAAATCCCAAATCACAGAAGGGCGCTGGTAACATGTTGAAGGGTGTATTTTAATGCTGTGTATTTACCTGAGGTTACTCTGTAGAAACAGCCGACTGTTGCGGAAATTGGCGGAGCTTCCCAGACAGCATGTGACCTCCCTGTTCTCCTGCATGATCTTCATCATCTCACACATGGCTGTGAGGAAAAAACACCTGTGTCAATAAGAATGTAAAGCAAAAACAAAGCGTACCCAGGACAGAGGGAGTCATTCCGATCAACTTTTCTTTCCATAGAAAAGGCCTTAATACATTTCACATCTTGAGGGGCAGACGACGATAACGGGAAAAGAGGACACCTTAATGTAATGTACAAAACGAAAGGGAATTGGGCAGAATGAGGTTGACTCACTGTCAGGGGTGCAGTCAGTGAAGAGGGGCACCAAAAGAGGCACATTATCAATGTTCTTCAGGTGAGGACGAACCTGGTGGATACCCCGAGGTAGCTTGGCCTGAGAGAGAACAGACAAATTGTTCAGACTCACATTCACTCATTTAGGTTCTTTAGAAGACAAGTGTAGAGGCCCACACACAGACAATACATCCTTTTGTGCTGGTGCAGTCTGCTAGACAGTAGTGAGAATCTGAACTCCTTTATTCGCCCCACAAAGGGGGAAGTGTACAGACAAAGAAAATAGAACACTTTTATATAAAAAGGCATTCACATTGTATTTAAATCAAAAATGATAGTAGTAGCTTCATTGACTTTCTAAGCGGTGTTGTTACCCTGTTGCAGTCCTCCAGAAAGCTGGGCACATCACTGTCTGTGGGCTGGAAGCTGGCCAGGTCAGAGTGGGCTTCCTCCTCTGTCAGCAGGGGGCCCTCAGCTTCATCACGAGAATCTGACACATGTGAAGAGAGCTGTCTAAAATCTGACATTTCAAAAGTCACATTTTATAAGAAGCTTTACCAGGGTGCACTTGTTGAGGCTGGATTAAAGAAACATGTATCTCAGGAACACACACCATACTATAGGAAGGACATTGAAACAACACAGAGCTTTAACAAACATGGAGGGGTTCTGTTTACTTTGGATTTAACGGCACGCTCACTGTTCCAAGAAATGTCATATTTGAAGAAAATCTAAATGAAAACCCATCTGTTATAAACTCTTCAAACATACACGTCTTTATATGAGTAGTAAAGGCATCACATCACTATACTCTCACATACAGATGGAAATATCAACAAGATATTAATAAGCACTAGACTTAAAACAGACGGACAGTTTAAGATGAGGGGGTAACCTCCTTGATGTCTAAAATCTGTGAATGTTCCCTTCAAGTATTTATGTCCTTACACCTCCAGAGTAACCTTGAGAACTCGTACTAATGGCCAATTTAAATCTGCAGTGCGTAGAAAAAGCATCTCTATGGTCCATCTCTATGCTAAATGGAAATGAATGAGTTTTAGACTGAGGTACCTTCATGCATGGAGCCCTGCGTGGGGCTGGATGGAGCTCCGTCACAGGGACTCTCTCCGTTTGGAGTCAGAGAGTTGTGACAGTTCCAGCCTGTCTCCAAGCCCATCTTCTCTGCAAAAACCTACACACACACACACACACACACACACACACACACACACACACACACACACACACACACACACACACACACACACACACACACACACACACACACACACACACACACACACACACACACACACACACACACACACACACACACACACACTTATTAATGATGTACAGTTCACTGCTCGTGAAATCCAACACATGTGGCTTCTATTTTTTGTACATGTTCCTTATGAACAATTCTCACTTAAACGACATATGTTATATATATTATTTTTAAGGATGGGAGGTTGTTACTATGGCACAGGTCTACTGCTAACCACTAATGCGTTTTTTTGTAGCAATTACTGCGAACTTGGAAACTTTTGCATATTTGGATTGCACAATGACTTTATAATGGAAGATCCATTGTGCTTCCGGAGAGACATAGAAAGACAAAAGAATGCAGCGGCCCAATTTCTGTCCAAGAGACTGTTAGATGTTCCGGGGAGCTCATGTGTGTTCACCTTGCTGCGGAGCTCGTCTTCCATGGAGAAGTAAACAAAGCGGATACAGGCGGTGACGAGGGAGTCGATGAGTCGGACGGTGTCCAGCCGGGCCTGGAACTGGGACGACACCATGCCCATGAAGATCTGCCCACTGAGGGCCTGCACACAGTCCTCCCGCTCCACCCCCTCACCTATACCCTCTGCAGATGAGGGGGAGAGAGATGAAAGGAAGATGAGAATCAAGTTGAATCATACTTTAGCTGCACGTCTCCTGTCATTAACTTGTACCGTCAGAGCTCCAGCTGTTCCTGCAGGAGTTTTGTTTGATGGGGGTGGTGGAGGGCAGCTCCACCCCGGAGAAGAGGCCGGGACTGGGGGCCAGCTCCACACACATCCCATTCAGTTGGCTGGACAGGGATACTTGCATGGGTTTGTAGGCAAAGGCTGAGCAGTACCCTGACAGACAAGCCCGCTGGTAGAAGTCCAGAACCTTCTTTCTGTAGCAGGAGAAGGGAACGTTAAACTAAAGATAAGGAGAAGACCACTGGAAATAGGGAACATATACACTTCTGATATTATCTTGATTCTTTCATTGAAACAGGTTGCAAAGATTCAGTGTGAGAGTTGCTGCACCTGTCAGAGCCTGAGAGGGGATAGATGTCAGTTCCATCCCAGAAGTCAGTGCAGGACTCGAGGATGAGGTCGGCTGAGCCATGTGACAGCATCTGGACGTTATCTGAAGCAGAGAGGTCAGAGATATATAACGTGTAATTAAGTAATTTAACAAAATATCATTATAAAGATAATAGTTTTCTCTACCTTGCACATAGAGTGATTTCAACATAAGAATGGAATATTTTTGGATTTATTGCATTTTTGCCTGAAATTCTCATTACGTGTGCGGCCCTGTCTAAAATGTACTTTATGTTAATGTAAAATATCCAGAAAAAAAGAAATGCACATTCTACTTCATACTTTCAAATGATAGAAGAAAATGAAACAGAACAATGGACAGAATGACAGCCTGAAGTGTGTGTGGACTCACTGGAGGAAGAGTCCCGTACAAACAGGGAGATGAGGTGAGAGATGGGAGGCTGCCGCTTGGTAAAGTAATGAAGGCGTCGAGACGAGAACTCCTTGTTCTTCTCTCCAGACGGCAGCTGGTACAGAGCCAGGTGGTTCTCCTGTCTGAAGAGCTCCCGCGCACCAGGAGTGAACCCTGACACACACACACACACATTTTTGCTAATGGTACTAAGACGTTTACGTCGTGGGATGACAGTCAGATCAGATTTCTGCCCTCAGAAAAACATTTAGGCCAGACCATCTGAAGAATATTATGTCATCTCGCACAACACAAACCCATACTAAGGGAGGAATCAGGCCATGGTGTAAAAAAGCTAAAACCAACAAAAAAAACTCTGTGACTCCATGCTCACCTATAAGCCTGGAGAGTTCGCAGAGCCCCCAGGGCACGCAGACGGGCAGCACGGAGCCGTGGCTCTCCTGCAGGGCCAGGTTGGAGAGGTGGTCGGAGAAGCGGCAGAGCTGCTGCGTGACGCTGGCGTTGCACAGGTTCAGCATGATGTTGAGGCCCAGAGGCTTGAGGGACGGCAGGTGGCACTGCCAGGAGAGGTCGTCGAACTGGATGCTGGTCGGGTTCTGCTGGTCCTGAGACAGGCTCAGCATCTCCAGGTGGTAGTCGCACACAAAGTCGTCGGCCTCCGCCTCCGGGCAGCCAAAGTCCTGCAGAGTGACGGAATGATAAGACAAACAACACCAAAATTAAATATAATCTTCCCATTTTTCACAACTATTTGATACACTTGAGAATCAGAATTCCTTAATTAGTCCCACAGCGGGGAAATGTACAGTGTTACAGCAAAAGCAATAATAAACAAGCTAACTTGTTAAATATAGAGAAAAGGCACACAATAGTAATCAAATCAATATGAAGACAATAGGTACACAGCCATGGCTGCAAATGTGTAGCAGCAATAAAAAAAGAAAAGAAAAGTGACATAAGTAACAAATGATTGTGTGAGACATTATAAAAGTTTCAGAAGATTGAGTTCCCGTTCTTACCTGGCCCGGGTCATTCTCGCCTCCCTCAGTGTCGCGGCTAAAGCTCACGTTGGATCCCGAGTGGTGCTTGGTGCGAGTGGGTGCAGGCTGGCAGGCGCGCCGCTGCTGCAATGTGTCCGATGAGCGAGCGGTGTCATGTGACGTCTCGCTGGGCTCAGGCCCCTCCCCCATCTGAGTGGATGGCTCTGCTGGCAGACAGAGCAGAGCCTCCGCCTCCTGGGCCTGGACAGCAGTCAACAGCAGTCAGTACTGTGCATCAGGGGAAGAATTCTACAGTAACAGACCTAACACTGTAACTAAACTAACAATAACTAAAACTCCCTGAGAACACACACACACACACCTCATCCCGGTCATCGTCCGCTTCCATGCGGCAGTAGGAGCTGACGGAGAGGTCGTCTCTGAGATCGTCCTGGCTGTTGTGAGGCGGCTCCACCCGCCCGCTAAAGAACAGCACCGTCTCTGGGCTGGGGTTGGGCCACGACAGGATACCCTGCTTATCCACACAGCACAGCACCTACACACACACACACACACACGATTTACAACCTACACGCATCAAATAATGGAAACATAGCACATCAATATCTCATTCATCAGCTAATTTGTCAGAGATACAACAAAAGAGGAACTGCTGTATACATCCATGGTTAGCAGTCATTAAAAAAATTATTATTATTATTTGTATTTCATTATTCTATCAAAATCTGGGTCTGTGAGTCAGTCCATCCTCTTATTCTGTGAAGTAAATGTTAGCAAAGCAGCTGAAGTGTATTTGATTGAATTCCTGGCTTCATACAAACAACAGGGAATGGCATCAGTTTGAGGTCCTCCCAATGTGGGAACAATATGGGTTTGAGATTGTATCTGGTTATGTGATTCATTTACTTCATTTCCCTGTTAGACATTCAAGGTGGATCTGCAGGTTAATTGTACAGAAAGAAAACCCAATTGATAGATGTAATCATCCCCAAACCCCCCTGAAGTACTTACAGTGACAGATCCCAGAGTGTGTAAAAGGCTGGAAGTGTAACAGAGGGTCTGGGACTCTCCCTTCAGGACGCCAAGCAGGTGTCTCCACACACAGCGCAGCAACTCCTACACACACACAATGAGTGTCATGAATAAAGTGTTTCAGTTATTCAATTGGACAGAAACTAGCAGTGAATTATCAAATTGATTTAACATCTTAAATCAGCTGTAAAGCCCAACTAGACTTAATCAGCTCTGAGAGTGGGCTGTAAAGATTGACAAAGGACACAGATGCTATGCTACAAAGCGAGGAGGTGAAGCCTGGGGCAAGATGCAGCATTGTAACACATCCATGCAGATTTGGATTCTTTTGGATGGAATCCATGATGACTCTTTTCGAGAAGGGACAAACCAAAAACAACCACAAGTAGATCTTCCTTACCCCCTTTCTTTTTCATCCGTGACTCACTTCATCGGCTCTGGGCTGATACATTTAGTGTCAATTAGGGGTTTCACATAAAGCTACAATATGTTGCCAATAAATCCTGTTTGCAGGATTTGATAATAGATCCTTATCCTGGATGGGAATGAGCTTGTCCCTTAAGGAGTCATTTCTGCTGACTATATCAGTGAGTGCATGGAACCTCAGTGTTTGGATCGGTAAGGATAAGTGCACTGATGTACATGGCAAATGTGACACAAATACATCTGTTAAGGGTCACTCATTTGTTAATATTCTAAATAATATTTGTATTTATTTATATCTCTGATGTACATTAATTAGGTGCAATCACGTAGCTTGCTCAATTATTCAACTTTATAACCATCTTCAAGGGAAAATGATGATTCAAATACCGCAACCGTAATACTAGCATTTTAAAAGCAAGTGCAGTGACTATTTCAAATTGTTCTGCCAAGTAAAAATCCAATCTGCATGTGATGGTGTGACCAATTCAAACATATTTTCATTATCATTTCAATGGGGATAAGGAAGGGACCCAAGAGGAGGAAAGGCTAGACAATGAGCAGCATGTGGTCGTATAGGGGCTGATTTCCATGCAGTGCAGGCAGACAAGCAGAGGTGGAGAATCAGGCTCATCTTCAACGTGAAAGTCCATCTCCAATCATCTCTTCCCTATTTGATCTGTTTTAACAGTGCCATAACAAAACACTAATCCTTTCAGAAAGACAGATCGGGTTACTGATGGCTGCTGATTCCTTTGTTTTCCTTTGAGCACAAAGCCCAACAATGATTGGGTTTTGTCAGGAACTGTAAGAGGTTAGGGGAATAGAAGTTCCATCCAAAAGGGGAGAAAATGATCTTAAAGAGACAGCTTTGATTGTTAACCAATCAACAGGCTTCTGAGGAGAATCATCCAGAGGTGCTCACTCAAGACGTGCTGAATCATATTCCACAGATGAAGTGATCAAAACCAAATGATTATGAGAGAAAATAACATGTTGAGTGAGAAAAACTGAAAGCAAAGTAAAAAAAACAAGGTAGTGAACACATGGAGAATCAGAGAGGTGGTCTGATCAGACTGAGACTGCCAAAGGCACAC